TGGCTGTTTGCTTTGGTGAAGAAGGAAGCAAGTACCAAGGGGCCTAATAGGAACCACACTGGGGGGGATCTAGGTGCTATACAGAAATAACATAAAATGGGTCCCTGCCAGTGTTCCCTCTAAGCTGAGTGAGTGTGAGCCAGCTCACAGTTTTTTAGCCTCCAGCTCACACTTTCTTTGTCTCAGCTCAGGAAGGAGGGCTCCAGAGCAGACTAATTTACGCAGCAGCCCAATCACTCGCTCACAGCTTTAATGCCAGTTGCTCACAAAGTAGAATTTTTGCTTACAAGACTCCCCAGTTTAGAGGGAACATTGGTCCCTGCCTATGGGCTAGTATCTTCTAAAGAAACCAAAAGAGGAGGGGACTAGAAAGGGAAGTCGGGAGAGAAAGTTTCCGGTTTCTGTTGTGTGGAGTAGAATTTCTGAGCTGGGCCACTTCTGAGGGTGCCTTGTGCCCACCAGTGACAGGAGTACTATTTCCTGTCGAGGAAGCAGAGCATTCTGGCATATGTTGCTGAACATGCTGCTGCTTTTAGACAGACAAAAGGAGAGATTCTACGTTGCGTCTTCCTGAAAAGTTCCCCGAGAGTCCCTATTGTCACCTACTGCTTTAAGAACCAAGCCACAAAAAACTGCATTATACTCTGCTGCCCCCTGGAACCCCCCCCCCTTACAACATTCAGCCTACACTTCAGGAATAATAAACAGCTGAGCTCCAGTAATGATAACAAGAACAGGGTGTCCATGCCTGGTTTGTTTCAGATAATGAAATCAAGTAGCCAGTTGCTTCACAATACTGATGATAATAATGAGTCTGTATGGTACAAAACCTTCTGTTCCCCCAAAGAGAATAAATTTTCTATGAGGTATCTTCTCATGCCACATTCTCTGTGTTTAATGTAAGCAGTGAACTTGACCCAGTAATAAGAACGGCCAGTGATATGTCAGTAGCCACTGTCTTAACCTTCCCTCCCTTGGGGAAAACAGGGCCAGTATTAAATATCTTCTGCTAATCTTCCTGCTTTTGCTGTCTACAGGTTACCGATGTTTCAAAGCCATCATGTTTCTCTCGGGCCTGCTCTTTGGCTCGGCTGTCATCTTCCTGCTTTGCTACAAGGAACGCATCTTGGACACGCAGTTGAGCCTGGAGGTCAGCGCGGGCATTGCCCTGGGCATTGGAGTCCTGTGTGGCTTGGTCACGATGTTGGTGCACTCGGTTGGGTTGTTCCTGACTGGGCTTTTGCTTGGCTTGCTATTAGCCACCGCTGGGCTGGTGGCCACGGAGCCTTTATATGAGCTGCCCAGCGCATGGGTCCCTGCTGGATCTCTTCTGGGCTCTGCCCTCTTGGGTGCTGTTCTGGCCTTGCGCTGGCAGAAAGCCTTCACGGTGCTCTCCACAGCAGTGTTTGGGGGCGCCATACTCACCCTTTGCTTGGACTATGCCGTGGAGAACCTGGCTTTGGGCCGCCACATATACGACCGCCTCCGTCTGGCACCTTCCTCTCCGCTCTGCTGGTGCGGCTGGGCCGTGCTGGCCATCTGGCCTGTCCTTGCTTTGATGGGAGTGCTGCTGCAGTGGAAAGTGACGGCTGAAGGTTTCTCCCATACAGATGGTGAGTGAAGGGCTATGGGGGGGGATCATGTCTTGTAATGAAAGAAAGACAGGAAGAAGAGAAGACTGTGCTGGTCTATCAGTTCTGTGCTCGAGCTTAGTTCCTCTCTCTCCCACCCCCCTATTAAATTTCATGTATGAGAGGAAATGGGGGGGGGACAATGGGGACAAAGGTAAGAGACGGGATGAGGGAGCGTGAAAGAACCTTGTGGGTGTAGTGTTAACAGCACTGCTTCATCAAATGCTGGGAAATTTTGCGGGTGGTGCTTGGGAAGAAGGTGACACTCTAGGAATTTCCTGTGATCTCTATGGTATATCATAGAGACATGGTGAAATTTCTGGTGCCAATGCTATGGAGGCCATTTTCCGGCCATTTTTTCTTTTGCTTCTCAATTTTGAAAGGGTGGGGCATTCAGGCTGGGGGGGGGCTGCTTGCTGTGGGAGAACAAATGGCAAGTCTACTTAAGAGGGTCAAGGGAAATCATAAAGTCATGGGGGTGGACAATAAAAAAATCAATGTAGGTTCCATATTCATGGATGAAGGCTAAAGGCTGCTAGGAGACCATAACAAGAGATTTGTGGGATCAAATGAAAGATCTCGCTAACACAGCAGTGTTGGGCTAATGAGATGCTTCTATGGAGCTTAAAAGCAGGGTGGATTAATTTAAATAACCATGAAAAAAGTTGATTTAAAATGTATTTTAATCTGTTTTCCAGGAGTTACTTAGATACTGCTTTTTATTTTTGCAAAATGTTTGCAAAACAATACTCAATGTGTATCATCATAAAAAACTATTACAACAAGAAAAGTCACCTATCTAAAATAAGAAATATGAGAGAAACGAAGGCAATATTAAGCTTAATACTCAACTACCATTATTCTTAAAAATCAGTTTCTAGGTAGCATAATATTATAGTTAAAACATTAGCTTAGTATAGTATAGTATAACAGTAGTATACTTAATAGTAATGTGTACTTTGTTTAAAATGTATGTTGGTCTTAGAACAGAACCTTTAAACAACTTCAGAAGGTACACAGTGGCCCTGGTCACACAGGCCGGATATCGCGGCAGGGGAGGGGGAGGCGTGGCTATTTGCCCCGCAGCGAAATAACACACAACTGCGCAATCAGGAATCCCCTCGCGGTCCCGTCGAGGCCCCGTGGTTAGGGGGGAGGTGCCGATCACACGATGCGCCAAAGAAGCGGCGCAGCACAGCAAACGGCGTTGCCCCGTTGGGTGCTTGTGCGCATCCCTGGAGACTTTGGGGGGAAAAAACCTTTTCGCAATGGGGCATGGGCGGTCACCGGATGCCACCGGAAACGTGATCAGACGCCCGCCCTTGCCCCGCGGTTTTCGGAAACTAGTACCTCCGAGGTACTAGTTTTTAACTGTGCATCTTCGGAGGGAAGCCTCGGGAGCTCTACGCTTCCCAGATGTGGTGGTGAGATCATGCCCGGAAAATCTGCCTATCTTCCGTCGCAGTAGTGTGGCTACTGCTCAGTGTGACCGCAGCCTATGAAGTGTTTTATATATTTATTTGTGCTTTTTTAGAAAGTGATGTGCAACTCATGGCTTATATTTAGGCAATGCTTGGGGCCCCAGATAGAATTCTCTTGCAGCCTGCAGAGCCGTTATGGTTCTTAGCGGATGAGTGCTGGTTCACATCAACACCAACTTCTGTTCTCAGTCTTGTTCACCCGTGTAGGCTAATGAGGTCTCAGAATGCTCTTCACACTACAGGTGGAGGATCATGTTTTGGAACACTCCGCCATCCTAGAAATACCTTAAGTGCAGAAAACAGCTGGCTTAGCACGCAGCATGGGTATAACCTCTTTCCTTGCCGTTTGATTGATTTGCAGTAAGTGAAGCTAGCACCCACCACTTGCCATTCAAAGTGTTACAGTCCTGTCTACCTCTTTTGCTTTCTTTTCCTGCCTTTGTGAATACGGCCTGAGTCTGCCCCAAAAGGCACAAGCAAGGACTGTTAGTAGGTGCTGGGTAGATGGAAGCTAAACCTCCTTGTTCTTTGATACGTTCAAATACAGTACTGAGTATATCGCAGAGATCAGGTGATTACTAAACATAAAATAGGAGCAGAAAGTCCCAGCAGTGAGTGAGAAACTGCAGCAGTTTGCCAATCCCAGGCTCCAAATATCAAGCCAATAATATAAATACATAAACTGCTGTGCTCTGTGAAGGTGTTTTCACAACATTTACTTCTTTGCAAATGAAAGTAACTCTTTATAAGAGGGTTGTAAATTCAGTTTTAAGAGAGAGGTTGGCATTATGTTTCTTTCTCTGTTCTCTCTCTCTCGTTCTCTCTCTTGTGACTACAGCAACCCTACAGGGTTTTCAAGGCAAGAGGTGGTCAGCCTCTGTGTCACACCCCTAGTATTCCTTGATAGTCTGCCATCCACATACCAGCCAAGGCTTGCCCCCGCAGAGCTTCTGAGATTTCATGAGATTGGGCTAGCCCGGACTATCTAGGTCAGGGCGTCTCATTTTATGCCAGGTTTTTTTTAGAAGAGCAATTTATTATAGATGAAACTTCCAAAAAATCAGTCTGATTTAAAAAACAAAACTCATCAATTGTTATTCACCCTTCTTATGAGCAGGGCACAAAGATCCCTATTGCTTGCCTCCAGTATCTGGTACTTGGAGGAATACTGTGTCTGAACATGGAGGCTAAAGTGGCCTTTCATGGCTAGTGGCCATTTGTTTGTTCTCTGTGAGTTTGATTGAGCCTGGGAAGTGGAATTCTGCACTCGAAAGATCCCAGAGTTTTATGGTCCCAATACTGTAATCACACAGTGTGTAACCTCTGTAGTGTGGTGTGCAGATTATTCAGGACTATTTCCTCACACAGTGTGATTGCAGAAATCATGCTTATACACTTAAGGATCTTGCAGATAATTTTCTTCTTTTTCAATCTTTAGAAGATATTTCTTTCTCTTAAAAAAAAAATTAGAAGAGACCTTGGTTTATAAAAAGAGAAACTGAGATTTTCAGGTCTCTGAAGGATGGAATGTATCCATGATATAGCAGCTATGCAAAACTCTGGGGGGGTCAACAAAGGGCTGAAAAGGAAGAAGGCCAAGAGATGGGGCTGAGCTATGTTCCCCTTTCCCATCTCACACTCTGTCGTATAAGAGCCTCTCCCCTAGGGTTGCCAAGTCTATTTACCTTGGCGGCAGGGGAGCCTTGCCGAACTCCGGGAGCCGTAGGTGGGCGTGCGCGTGAGCCGCCAGCACATCACCGGAAGTGATGCGCGGCGTTGATCACGTTGAGGGCGTGGCCCCGATCGTCAGAGGGAAAACCATAGAGTTTTTCCTCCTATGATTAATGGGGGCCACGCCGCCAACATGATCGACGTGGTCGCGTCACCTCTGGTGACACAGCCATGCTGCGCTTTGGGGGGCGGAGTTCCCCCCGGGGCCCAATTCCACGGCAGCGGAAATCGGGCCTCCAAAGCGGGGGTTTACCCCCCCCGCCCCCCACTTGGCAGCCCTACTCTCCCCACCCAAACCTCCATAGCTGAAGGGCTTTACTGGATTTAGGGTTAGAATACCCCCCTGCCTCCTAGAATTGCCCTGGGCTGGGCTTCGGGATGCCAGCCTCCAGGTGGGGCCTGGGGGTCTCCTGGAATTAGAGCTTGTCTCCAGACTACAGAGATCAGTTCCCCCGGAGAAAATGGGCACTTCGGAGGGTGGCCTCTGTGGCATTGTACCTCATTGCGGTCCCTGACTTCCCCAGGCTCCAATCCCAAATTTCCACAAGTTGCCCAACCTGGAGCTGGCAGCCCTACGTCCTGGAAACACCTTGCGGGGTGCTAGTAGGGGTAGCATCCTCTGTTCTGATGCCTCTGTTCTCTCACCCAGTGGTCCTTAATCGGCGGCAGAAGCAGTTACAGCTGTTGCGGATTCGGCAGCGTGAAGCCAAGAAGAGGCAGAGCCAAACTCCACAAGAGGGCTCCTACCGGCATAAGCCTAACGCCATCAAGCGCTGTGCAGGAGATGTCCTTGCGCCAGTGAGTGGCTGACATGTGCATTGTTTCTGCTGCAAATATTCCTTTTTTTAAAATAAATATATATTTATTAAGTTTTCTTGTGCATTACATCATGCATTTATGGTAAACAGTTTCAGTTGTCAGAGTCATTTAGTTCATACATTATTTTCTTTTATCCACTTATAAAACATTTTCCATCTACTATGAAATACCTCCATATCTTTATTCTCTAAGATTGTAGTCAGATTGTCTATTTCAACTACTTCTTGAACTTTATTAATCAGTTCATTACATGATGGTATCCTTTCAAGTTTCCAATTTTTGGCAAAGATAATACGAGCTGCAGTAATGATAAATCCCATAGCATATTTTTGGTCATCTTTTAACTTATCTGGGAGTATGTTTAACAAAAATATTTCTGGTCTAAAAGGTAATTCTACTTCATACACATCTATTAATAGCTTATGTACCTTCTGCCAGAATCGCTGGGACTTGGGGCATCTCCACCACATGTGGTAGAAGGTGCCTACATTGTTTTTACACTTCCAGCAATTTTTAGAAACATTTGGGTAACATTTGGCTATTTTATCCGGGGACCAATGCCACCGGTGATACATTTTAAATATGTTTAAATATGTTTTCCTTATATGGAATTGCGCGTAACTGTTTTGCAGCAATCCAAATCTTAGACCAGTCTTCTATGGTATAGGTTAGGCAAATATTCCTGATTGTAGTCCACATGCCTCTTATCCCCCACATCTGAGTGGCCTTTTCTAGGGAAGATCTTCACAGTATCTTCTCTAGACCTCACAGCCCAATTCAAAGTCCTTGTGTGGCCTGCTGCATATTACAATGATAGGGCGTTGCCTTCAATAAAGCTGGGGACTGCTTTTGCTGAGATACATCTACCTTTATAACTACATGTTAAAGTTACGGTACTGTGTTTTTTGATGCAGCCAGTTATTTGGATATGCTTTTTTATGCTGCTGTTTAATTTAGCCATTTGTTGAAGCTGTGTTAATTAGCAAGTTTGGCTGCTTTTTTCTGTTGTATTAATTTTACTTATTTTTGTTTTTACAATGTGGTGGGGGTTGTTTTATGTTCTGCTTTGCTTCCATAAGCTGTTTCAGGCATATTTTTATGAGGAAGCTAAGAAAAGGTGTTAAATTAATGCACACTGATCTGTTCACCCTTATCTTCAGTATATGGCAATTATAGTTACTCATTGATGAAGATAACAGAACAGTCCTCAACAGATTTATACCCTTCTAAGTCTATTGACTTGAATGGGTTTGTAAGGGCATGACTGTATTTTGGATTGCCCTGCACATGTACCCTGCACCTACTCAAAGGTACCTTCATGTATGCTTTGCTCTGTTCTTAACGTTCCAGGGTTAAGTCCTTCCGTTGAAAGCTCAGAAATTTGGACTGAGCCCTGTCACAAATTAATTTCCAGCTCTTCAAGTAAAAACTCAGTTCGGTAGGCCAAGTAGCCACAATGGAAGGCAAATAGAACACGAAAGTCACAAGACAGTTTGAGTGAGGGGAAAACTTCTTCCTGAATATGGATTGATTTACAGTAGCTTTGAAAGCTGTGGTAGGATCCACACGTTCTTAGATCTTATGCTGTTGTGATCATGTACCTCCTGCATTTTTCTGTGTGGCCAGGAAAATCTAGAAGGTACAGGATTATAATAGTGCAGTATCTAACAATGTGTGGATCTCATCTGTATCTCCCGCTAGACAGCTGAATGGTGGTGCACCTGTATGTGAGGTCTGGAGGAAATGCATGTACCTCCACATACTCAGGAACATATGCTGGCCGTATAGCCTACTGTAGCTTAAAGACACACCTCCTAGCACATGTCCACTATACAGCTAGAAAAGAATGTGTTAAAAGCCAAGCAATTTATTTCAAGGAAATGCAATCACCCCATTCCCAGTGCATAAACTGATACTTCTCTCTTCCTCCATTCCCCATGCTGAAGAGTTATATCCAGAGCCTGCGTGACCGCCAGCAGCTGGGAACTGGTACATCACTGAGTAGCCTGAGCACCAATGCGCATACTGCGGTGGATCTGGATTATGACTGTGGCTCTACTGTGCCCCTTACCAATCCCCGGGGCTGCCTCTGAAACAGATGATTTCTACTTCTACATGTGCCTTAACCAGGGATGCACAGCTCAGCCCTGGGCTCTGACATTTTTGTCCTTTTTAGATCCCAGTACATGGACTGCTCTTAACCTGTGCGCGCACACACATATCTCTCATTTTCTGTCTTTTTAATAATTCAGATTGGGTGGATTCACCTACCCACGTCTCTCTGTAATTGCGTCAAAATAGTAGAACAGAAGGGTTTTGTTTTTGTTTTGTTTTGTAAAAAGCACATTAATTTATTGCCAGTTAAGGCAAGTGAAGGAAGAAAGCCAACCTTCTTCTGCAGGGCATTCACAGCTGCCTTTCAAACAGCACTGCCACAACGTGTTTTGTCTTTGGTGGCTGACCTGAATTTTGAAGCTGGCGTAGTGTCAGCTGTTACCCAGGTTAAAGTAAACTGGAGACATCCACCCCCTTCTTTTGCATGAAGGGGTTATGTGCCCTAGTCTGCAGCAGATCTAGAACGTGGTCTTGAGTATCTTTTTGACCTAAATTTCTTTCTTTTTTTTAAACTGCCCTTGTAGAACTTTTATCTCAGGGGTGCATCAGCTAGGCAATAACTTGAAATTGTTCTTTGCACTGCAAGTGGATAGGGTAAATTGGTCTGATCTGTGGTGCTTTTGCAAGACTTAGCCATTTTTTAATGTTGGTATAAAAGAACTGTGTGAGAATGTTCACAATTCTCCCTCTCACTGGGCAATTTGGTTTTCCTAGTAATGGAAGGTATGCATCTTTTTTTTTTCTTAATCTAGATTAAACTCCAGTCCGCACAGTGCCTTTTTCAGTCTAAACACAGCCTTACCTAAATGGAAGTGGGGTTTTTTTTTTTTTTGTCTAACTTGACATTTGGTGCTTTGGACAAGGATTTAAATGAATCCTTTTTTGTTTTTACTTACATTTTTACTTGTAAGCTAACTACCCAAAATCGTGGACTATTAATCTGAGTTTGGTGAGTATTGAAATCTTGTTCACAAGACCTCTTTTTTATTATACCAGGTTGTTTCCTGTGGACATTTTTTGTTACTGCTGTTTATAATTCTTGTTTATAAACCTGACAACAGATGCATGTGTACTGTGCAGTCTTATATACATAATTGGACTGATAACAGGCTAAAATGGCTACCCCTGTGTTTTCCATATGGTAATCATCCTGCAAATATGGCTTCTGATTTATTAAGCCTTTTAGTCCAAGTTTCACTATACCAGGAATCCTCAAATATTGTTCAGCACTTTTAGAATTTTGAGGATGGAGAGTGGGTGCCACCACAAAATGGCTGCCATGAGTTGCTGGCACCAGTCCCAATGTTGGGAAGGTTACAAGCCAAGCAACCTCCTACAGTGAGGCAGCTGTTAAAGCCCCCTTGTCCCATAAGAAGACTTTGGGGTGAAGGTCAGGAGCAAAACACACAACACCGGGGAGTGAATCCTCATTGATCAGGATAATGAGCCACCACCAACCCCTCTAAGATAACCCTCAGCTCAGAGACCAGGTCTTCCAGCCCTTCCAGGTGTTAATCAAGAAGTCAGCCCTTCAGGGTAGGACACTTGCAAGTTAAGTTCCAATGACAATTACTTTGGTAGCTGTAGCCAAGTAGGCCAAGGTAGACTGAAGCCCCCAAACCCAAATAACTCCACAGGAGTTTGATTAATAAGGTTTATTAAAAGAAATGTGCAGGAGTATACAAAAGCAGGGAAGAAAATAAGAAAACTGAATAGCTAACCTAGAATACTTAGTGAGGCTTTTGTCCTTTGATCCATATATTACCTGGCCAGACTGAAGATACAAAGCTTCTTGCACTAATCAGATGGAATGTGAGTGCAAAGCTCCCCCTGGGTGTCTGGCCTTCAAGCTCCCAGGCCCATGATCTCACTTGTACTTTTGTCTGACTCCATCTCATTCCCTTATCTCTCTGGAAACTGCAAGTCAGTGAGTTTAACTTTCCCAGAGGAGGAGCCTTTAGTAACTTAACTAGGCCCAAAACTCTGAAAGGGGAAGAAATGGCTAAACAAAGCCAGTTTCTTGATAGCATCTGTTGCTGAATGGGCACCCCTTGCGATCACAAACATGATGTCTCCTGTTGTCTTCTGAGGTACTCAGGGCCGGCTCACCCACTAGGCGAACTAGGCATTTGCCTAGAGCGCTGGGCCCTGGATGGGGCGGTCGGCCCTGGATGGGGCTCCGAACTGCACACACACCCCGCCAAAACTTCGCACACCATTGCTGCTCCCAGCCCTGTGGTGTGTGGGGCGGAAAAGGGGCTGATGAAGGCGGGTAGCACTTTTCCTCGTTCCTCTCCGCTTCATCGTGCAGACCCCCCCCCCGGGAAGCAGCCTGCCCAGCAATTGTTGCTGGCAGCCCGTGGGGGTAGGTGGCGGGCTCGCTCTCAGCAAGTCACTTGCGGCTGGGGCTGTGCTCTGGCCCTGCCTCCCCGCCCGGGTCCTGCTCCTGAGGCAGTGGGATGAGAGGAGGGAGGAGGAGAAGGCGGGGCGGGGGCATCGTCGACTGGGGGTTTGAGTGGGATGGCTGCCTCCTTCCTCTCTCTCCTGCCCGCCCCCTTTGTGCACGCCTGGCTGCCGTGGGCACGAGCGGGCAACGGCTGAGCACCACGAAGTTGCGCACGCCCCCCAACTGTCACCCCGCTGGGCACACAACCTCTTCCCGCTGCCCCCCGCCTGCAAAAATCCACGTGGGGAGGGGGCACAGCCAAGATGGGCCAGAGGGAGAGCTGCGCGGGCGAGCGGGGCCCCCGGGAGGTTTCGGGCCATTGGGGCTGGTGCGCGGGTGACTGCCCTGCTTGGGGCGGCTGCGGCTCTTTTGCTGGGTGCTGGAGCCAGGGAGGCTGGCTGCCGCGCTCCAGAGGATGGCAGCAGAAGGTGAGTCCGGGCGGCGGGGAGGCCAGCTGGGGCGGGAGAGAAGTTGGACTTCCTTCTCTCCAGGCCCTGCCTGGAGGTTGGCACCCCCATAATTGGGTGCACGGGGGGGGGCAGAAGGTAGCCCCGCCTAGGGCGCAAAAAAGCCTCGCGCCGGCCTGGGAGGTACTGAGGTGGAGGACAGCCAGGAATGGCATTTTGCTTTGGGGAAGAGAGGAATGGTCAAAAAATGGATGCTAGTAAACGCATTGATGGATGGCACGCTAGGGATCACTGGTCTATCCTGAATAGCAGTAGCTGCCCTTACCTGCAAGCAGGGCTCAGGGTGTCTGACAACAAAATAAACACACAATAATCCAAGTTAAATTAAGCCAGCATTAAAATACAGTACAGAGACATAAGCAAAAAGCAATTCCAAGGTGGTGAATAATTTGAATAGAAAACTGAACTACCGAGAGCCTCCAAGGGGGCAGGGAAAGGGGGGGGCGGGAGACCTGAGAGCACCAGACTACTTGCTGTCCTCTACCAAAAGCCTGGCAAAACATCTGTTATGTGATCTCCATTTTAATTGAAGCTACTGGTGCATATACGTCTGTTATTCTGTCACTGAGCTCTAGATCCTGTTTTGGGCAGAGCTTATCCTAGCATAGCAGGAAAAATTGGGTTGTTTTGGTGCCTCCTGGAGGGCCAAAATAATGGCTGCACTGTTCATTTGTCACAGAGCTGAAGGCAATACAATAGAGAGATTTCGCAGCATAATATCACTGACCCTTCAGCACCTGAAGTTGTCCTGATGCACAAGCCAATTTCTCCTTAGGCTTCGGGGTAGGTGCCTCAAATTTGGATCCTTTTAGGGTGCAATTGAAGGACTGCAAATGTTGTGCCACATGCACTGAAAGTGGGACATCCCAGCATTTGACCAACTTAATTCAGTTCTTCACTCCTTAGGTGGCAAGAAATCTACCACTTAGGGCCTTGTGAAGAACAGCTTTTAGCACCTTGCAGTTTTACCTCCAACGAAATAGAACATCTTTTTCTTATTAACTGTAATTTTATACCTCCAGAAGATCCATCATTTTACAAGGTCCCCTTAACTTGCAAGCCGTGTTCTACAGGCAGTCTGTCCTGTTTCTCCATACTTCTAGGCAAGCACAATTTCATATCTCCTTTATCCTGATGAGTATCCAGTCTGAGATATTTCTCAGCCAAAACAAAACAAAAAACCCCAACCTATATGAGGAGAAAGACTGTCTTAAAATATCCCTATGAAGGCAGCACTAAATTCTTGACCTACTGGGGGGGAGGATATGGAAGTTGGGGGACACCTATACATAATATTAGAAACCTTTGACCCATTCTCAAATGGATTTTACACATTTTGAAGAGAAATCCATGCTTACAAGGAAGAGTGGGCTCTAAATTGAATAAACAAATAAAATAAAATTAAGTAGCGTGACTTTAAAAATAATGTATTCTGTATCAGAGCTGGAATTATGTTTCTTGGCCTTGGCTCATTCTCACGCTTGCCAGCGCCTACCTCTTGGTGACCTTTTGTGCCCAGGCCCAGACACAGCTGCCAGTAAAGGAATGTGTGTAACAAATCCTGCCTGTGGGCAAGATCCAGGAATTTTCTGTCTGAAGTCTGGAAAGAAAATCACAGGGGTTCTGGTTTCCATTCTGCAAAAAGACTAGCAGCTGCCAGCCTAGCCCCTTAGTAAGGTTAGGAACTCATTCCCCAACCCCAACCAACTCCCATTTGTTGTGCTTTCTGTTCTAATGCCACAGGACCTGGCAAAAATGTGTGCTTGATATTTAGTTTTGGACAGAAATACAAAATGCCGTTGTGTGCACTGTGCTAAAATTGAACAATTTTATACTGATTTAATTCATATATACCCCACTTTTCTCCCTAGTGGAGACCCAAAGTGGCTTACATTCATTTCTCCTCTCCTCCGTTTTATCATCACTACACCTCTGTGAGGTAGGTTAGGATGGGAGAGTGTGACTGGCCCAAGGTCAGCCAGTGAGCTTCCTTTTTTTTTTTTGCACTATAAATGTTTATTATTTCTGTTTGTTTGTTTTTAACATATCAAGAAATATAATAACTGCAAAACAGTATACAAAACCAGTTAGTCATCAATACAAATTTTTACAACATACATCAACAGTAGTGAGCTTCCATGGCATATTTGTGGATGCAAATATGAGTCTCCCAGATACTAGTTGGACACCCTTAACCATTATACCACATTATACCACACTGGCTCACGTGTGTTATAACACTCCAACAATGGGGGGAAAAAACCTTAAGCACAGGTTCATCAACGCAGTATTAACATAGGTGAGGAATCCATAGCATGCATGCATCCATCCATCCAGTTATGAAATAGATTTCTTCTTCAGGTAAGTTCAGATTTATTGTTCTTTATCTGCAAATTTATCTGATGAAGAAATCCATTTCAAAACAGGATGGATACCAGGTTCCTGTAATAATTATACTTGCTATGTGGGTTCCTCATCTTTGTTTGTTGATCAACCTATGTTCTTACAAGGCTTTTTGTCATTGTTCAATCTTACCACAATGTGTGCTACAATGGCACGTTGTATTTCTGTCATCATTACACTCCTGTTCCTTTGTGCTTGTTGTGCTGAATAGTTTTGAGCAGCTTCTGTGTTGGTACCCTCATCCCTCTTGAGGCTGTACAAGCATGAAATCTTAGCTCTTGGACAGACATCCCCAGCAAGCTCAAGCTTTCCCAAACCTCAGTGAAAGCACCCTTTTTGACAGTGAGCAAGAAAAAAGGGTTCCACCAATTTTAATCAGTATAAGAATAATGACTACTGCAGTTGTGCAGTTTTGTTGGCTTTTTGCAGGAGATATCAACTGAAGGCTCCTGGTGCAGAGGTGGGGCAGAATTACCTACTCCCAGTGGAGTCTCATCATAGGGTTTTCAAGGTATGAAATGATCAGAAATTGGCTTACCATTGCCTTTTGGTACGCAGTACTAGCCAGGGTTGGCTGAAGTGTCCCTGCTGTTGTCTACGAAAGATTGTCCGCCAACGTAACCTTCCACTTATGCTGTTACCCAGTAGCCACCCTTCAAGGATTCCTCCGCCTCCATCACCATTGGAACTGGTGGTTCTCTTCTGATGTGACCATTGATCCCTGAATGGGGTGGTTGTTACCTTAGCTTGGTGACCAATGCTTCCTCTAAGCTGTGGAGTCTTGTGAGCAACAATTCTACTTTGTGAGCTACTGGCATTAAAGTTGTGAGTGAGTGATTTGGCTACTGCATAAATTAGCTTGCTCTGGAGCCATCCTTCTTGAGCTAAGACAAAAATGTGTGAGCCAGAGGCTAAAAATCTGTGAGCTAGCTCACACTAACTCAGCTTTGAGGGAACACTGTTGGTGACCATTCTGCCTTGAATGACTCTGCTAGGAGTTTAGCCTCTTAGCAGAGTTTAAACTACTCCTGGCTGTATTGCTCTCAGCTTTGCTGACCAGACACATACCCCCTCACACACGTTAAGGTGTGCATCCATGAGGGCCACAGCCCTCATTTTGCAAGACCTGAGCAAGGCAGTTATTGATAGGGCATTTTGGAGGCCATTAATTCATAGGGTCGCCATACGTCGAAAGCTACTTGACCGCACCACACTTACAGAGTGGAGTCTGATTGGAGGATCTGCAGAAGTCTGGCAAGCAGCCTCCATTGCAGATGAGTACTTTGGTATCACAGGTGCCTTTCCTTGTTTCTTTAGCTAAGGGACCAGGTGTGCAGATGAGAGCTGCTGATCTGATCCCTCTTCCCTCTTCCAAAGGTGGAAGTGGATGTGGACTTTGCTTCAGAACTCAGTATTATGAATCAGTTTGTAACGATTCCTTGTTTTTGTGTGTGTGTGTCTCTTTAAAAGTTTGGTTGCATGGCTGTGGTAGATAGACTAGAGTGGTTGAGAGAGGCAAGTGTGGTATGATTGGTGGTTGACAGAGAGGGGGAGGGGTTTTGGAAGTGAATCTGATTGGATGAGTATGTGAGTCAGTCAGGAGTTTCAGTTAGATGTTGACAGTTAAAGTTCAGTTAGTTAGTTCTGTGTTGAAGCAGTTAAAGGGGAAAGCTGTGGTTGTTCAGTGAGAAAGAGAAGGAGAGCTGAAAGCTGAATGTATAGGAAAAAGTAAAGTAAAGTTTAAGTGAAGTAAAGTTAAAGGAAAGTCTGAGTGTCATAACAGACTGGAGTGAAACAGTGAACATATATGGCATTGAGATAAACAAGTGTTACAAAGTTACATGAAAAGATCCCTGTCAGTGAGGGAAAAGATTGAGTGTGATACCAAAGCAATTGTTCATCATTTACACATTACTAGTTACATTGTATCACCCTCTTATTTAGTATTTATTTCAATAAATCCTCTTTTATTTAAGTTTATACCAGCTCTGAATGAAATACTTCTCAGGACCACATAGTTCCTCGTAAGCCTTGAACTCGGTCTACCAAACTAAAAAGAGCAACAGTTAGAAGCCTAAAGGTTTGGAAATCCTTAAAATTTCCTGGTGGCAGCAGAATCTACCCAGTTAAACAAAATAAAGAGAACTTTTAAAGTGAAAATAGTCCTCCCCAATAAGGAGGATGTCACACAGTTGTTTTGGCAAGAGGGGCCTCGGTTTTGGGATGCCCTACCCCCCCACCTTCTGCCAAGCACCCGACTGGCATGATTACTGCATTTCAGAGACAGCCTTGGGCTTGTGGCACATGCAGCCCTCCCCAAAATATAATTCTAAATGATCCAATACAGAAATGAGTTCTGGAGAGGTATAAGCTTGCTTTGTGGATTAAGAAAGCTACGCTGTGCCTTCTGGGGTCCTGTGACTCAGGCTTCTCAAAACTTTTTGGAAAGCTTTTAAAAAAGAAAACCCATTGCCCCCAAACCGTTTTGTCCTATGCTGGCATTGTATCCTCATGCCTTTGCTGGGGGAAGAGACGACTGAGCCAAGTTTCTGGGAGGCTGGAATGAGGTGGGGCTGAATGGCTACATTCCACATTAGAGTCGTGCTTTTCAAAGTTCCGGGGTGGACCTTGCTCTCGGGTCCTTGCTTTGAAGACTTATTTTGTTTTCTTTGGATGTAGAAGCAGGTGGATGAGAGGACATGAGAAAGAGTGCACTGACCCAAAGTGTGCATTTATTCTTCTTCTGCCTCTTCCCCTAGGGCACTAGCTACTGGCAATGGGATGAACTGGGCTGGAGCCCTTTCACCAGTCTTCCAAGGAAGATCTCCAGCCTTTTCACAGGAGCCCCATCTGACCTGGATGCTGCGTTCACCTGGGAAAATGGCAAGATGTATTTTTTCAAGAGGCAGAAATACTGGCGGCTCAATGACCAACTGCGGGTGGAGAGAGGCTACCCTTTGAGCACAGCTGAGCGCTGGATGAACTGCTAACACTACCCACAGGTGCCCAAGCATGCTCCCTGGGACTCAGAACAAGTTCTAACTACTCATAGACTAAGCAGTGAGGATTTTTAAAAAACAGACCAGACAGCACCCCCTACAGGTGGCATTTAGGAACAACAACTCCTCCGGAAAGGACCAGGGAATATGGAGACGGAAAATAATTTGACACTTTTGTAATCCCTCTTGTTCCTGGTGGACTTTACACTGACATAATAAACATACTTATCTTTTCTAATGCCAGAGTCTGTAGGCATCCCATTTCCTTTGGCATAAGCATGAATGGCAGCAGGGGCTAGCCTGGTTTCAGGACAGACCAAGTGATGGGGGAACCAGAAGCCGAGAAGAGAGAATCATTGAAGGGTTACACAGTCTTAATAGCAGTGAAGGTGACGAGATAGAAGGACCGTGATGTAGATTATTCCTCAGTGACCAAGAGGTTTGATCAGGGCTAGATATGCGTTGCATCTTTAAAACATCTAAATTCAGCAGTAGAATAAAGCAAAACTCGGCTAAGAATATATGGAGTTTTGCATTCATTGTGCAAATATTCATATGTTTGCCTTCCTTCCGGCAAGCAAAAGGTGAGAGCAAAATAATCAGAGCAATGGCAAGACCTGTCCATCATTCACCCCCATCCCCATCTTACTGAATATTGTCCAAATATTTTTTAGCCTATCTTTGAAGCCTTAAACACTGGAAACTTGCATAAGAAAGACAGAACAGAAAGAAAGGTAGACAAGAACCGGGATGCTGAATTCCGTCTTTCCTCCCCCCCTTAAAACACACACATTTACAAGATCACAACTTTTTATTGTGAATACGTGTGGCATGATGCCACCACAGTTACATTTGCTCAAGTCCTGCACACTGGCATCTTCACATATGGCCAGATCCGTAAGATCATATGATTGTGTTCCATGCTACTCAATCTGTAATAGCCCTCTGGTTCTGTACTAGAAATCACAAACATAGGCAGGAAGGGTTTCTGTGTGTATTTTGCAGGAGTGCTTTCTGCTGAAATTTTAGCCTTCCTTAAAGATGCCCAGTCCTTTTAGTGTGTACAAAGGGGGGGGGGGAGAGAACTGTTAATGTGTTGCTCTAAAAACCTGCCCAGTTGTCTCATGAGAGATTGCAGTGTGATCAGCGTGCATATTGTACATCACGGTCCTTCTATCGCATCACCTTCACTGCTATTAAGACTGTCTAACCCTTCAATGATTCTCCCTTCTCGGCTTCTGGTTCCCCCATCACTTGGTCTGTCCTGAAACCAGGCTAGCCCCTGCTGCCATTCATGCTTATGCCAAAGGAAATGGGATGCCTACAGACTCTGGCATTAGAAAAGATAAGTATGTTTATTATGTCAGTGTAAAGTCCACCAGGAACAAGAGGGATTACAAAAGTGTCAAATTATTTTCCGTCTCCATATTCCCTGGTCCTTTCCGGAGGAGTTGTTGTTCCTAAATGCCACCTGTAGGGGGTGCTGTCTGGTCTGTTTTTTAAAAATCCTCACTGCTTAGTCTATGAGTAGTTAGAACTTGTTCTGAGTCCCAGGGAGCATGCTTGGGCACCTGTGGGTGGTGTTAGCAGTTCATCCAGCGCTCAGCTGTGCTCAAAGGGTAGCCTCTCTCCACCCGCAGTTGGTCATTGAGCCGCCAGTATTTCTGCCTCTTGAAAAAATACATCTTGCCATTTTCCCAGGTGAACGCAGCATCCAGGTCAGATGGGGCTCCTGTGAAAAGGCTGGAGATCTTCCTTGGAAGACTGGTGAAAGGGCTCCAGCCCAGTTCATCCCATTGCCAGTAGCTAGTGCCCTAGGGGAAGAGGCAGAAGAAGAATAAATGCACACTTTGGGTCAGTGCACCATTCTAGTTCCTTTGGGTGCTACCTCTGTAGAGGAAAAAAGAAAAATACATAGAACTCGAACTTCTGGGATTAAATCAGAAGCCACCGTTGGCTGTGGCTATTTAGACTGGAATCCTTATGTGAAAGGCCTACATGCCTGGCACTGGCAGTTCCAGGGAACATTGGAAGTGATAATAAGGACTGCTGTGGGACTTGAGCCGCCTTGGGCTCCCAGCTTGAGGACTACCCACTTTCCCAGACAGATAAAGAACATGGTGTTTTAAAGTGGAGCAGCAAATCTCTACAGCTTTTAAGCAATGCTGTTTCAGAGCCACGGCGGTGGGGGGAGACACAAGGGGAGGGGGGCGCCACAAGGCAGCCTTGGCTGGGGGGGGACGCTAGTTTCACCTAGGGCACTGAAAAACCTCAGGCCGGCCCTGGATACTAAAAAAACCTGTTCAGTTTAAAACTAGATAATGACAATAGTAAATTTTCTGTTGCCTCAAGGGTCATAAAATGGCAGAGTCATCCTGCCAGCCACAAGCGAACACAGTGAAATTCCATTCACCCAAGGAACCCGCATCCCTCAGACGGTGCCTTCTCCCCATACTTATTTTGTTGTTTAATCCAACTGCATGTTCTTTGTCTCTCTCTCATCCTTCCAACCTGTCAAGTTGGAAGTGGGTGACATGATTGAGGTTTATAAGATTATGCATGGGAAAGAGCAGGTAGAGAAAGAGGTACTTTTCTCCCTTTCTCACAATACAAGAACTCGTGGGCACTCCGTGAAATTGCTGAGCGGTCGGGTTAGAACGGATAAAAGGAAGTACTTCTTCACCCAAAGAGTGATTAACACTTGGAATTCACTGCCACAGGAGGTGGAGGCGGCTACAAGCATGGACGGCTTCAAGAGGGAATTAGATAAGCATATGGAGCAGAGGTCCATCAGTGGCTATTAGCCACAAGGTACAGATAGGGACTCTGGGGCAAGTGATGCTCTGTCTTCTTGGTGCTTGGGGGGTCAACAGTGGGAGGGCTTCTAATGTCCTGGCCCCGCTGGTGGACCTCCTGATGGCACTGGTATTTCTGGCCACTGTATGATACAGAGTGTTAGACTGGATGGGCCTTTGGCCTGATCCAACATTGGCGTCTCTTATGTTCTTATGTTCAAGTCCTGTATTTTGGAAACATCTGTTGTGCCTATTAAAAAGCTCCCAGAATGCACCAGAATTCTGGCTTCTTTCCCCACCAAATACCAACAGATCAAGACACAGAAGCTTCCTGGATCAGCCCCAAGAAAAGGGAAAGTTTAAACAACATGGAACAAGAACCATCGTGGCAACAAAGGCCTGGCCTGGTCCACCTAATAGTCCAGACTGCCCACAATCTTCTTTTCTAATCATTGTTGATTCTGTATCCTGCTTCAGTGATTTCTAATAACTGTAGGTCATTTTGGGTAATGGAGAATATAAAATATATAATTATGCATGAGGATATGTAACTGACGGTGTAGGGGGTACCTTAAAGAAGAAGAGCTTCTTGTTTCCTGGCCAGTAGAGGGCAGCATCTATCTTAGGTGGAATACGGGTGAGGAGTTTTGGATAGCCAGGATCCAGCTTGAAATCCCGGTAACGCCACAGCTTAGTACCTTAGTAACCAGAATGAACAGCATATGAATTAAAAAGGAAGTAAAGCAAAATAAGGCTCCAGATCTCGCTCAGCTGATAACAAGTTTAAATGTTGACTTTTGTGGTGCCCAGAAGGAAAGCAGGGACAAGAAAGGTGTCTAATAATAATTTTTAAAGCTTCTACAGAGAATAGGGCTTAGCAAGAAAAGGTCCCCTAAGACAAAGTACTTTGTAATTTTTAAAATTTAATTATCCCAAACAGAAAGACAGAAAAAATATAACCAAATCTAACAACAATGTTGGCAAGTCTACAGATAAGCATTTATAAAAGATTTCCAAACATCTAAAGATATGACCATGTGCAATTGTCTATATGCCATTAGTTCAAATGCTGATAAGTCCTCAATCCATTGGATTACTGGAGGTGGGCATTTATCTTTCCAGTATTGCAATATAAGTCTTTTAGTGACAGTAAAGGCACGGAGGGTCTATTTTTCTTGACTATCAGTTAGTCTCCAAGTGACAAAGTATATAATAAGTATCCTCAAAAATCAATGAGTATTCTAATACAAAATTGGTATGACTAATTACTTCCTCCCAAAAAGACTGAATAACTGGACAGACCAAAACCATATGTTTAAGAGACATGTCTTGTAAGTTACAGCACCAACAATTAGATATGTTACTCAGTCTTTTCCTAAAGAGTCACTGTGGTGTCTGGAATATTCTAAATATAATTTTTGCTGAATGAGTGGTGGCTTAAGGTCTATAGAAACAGCAGGTATAAAATTTAGAACCATATCCCATTGTTTTGGCAAAACTGTGTGATCTAGCTCCTTATCCCATTAATTTCTGAGACTTTGGAGATCATATTAATTAGTTGACATCAAGTATTTATAAACAGATATAGCTTCCATTTACTGATTAACTGAGAGTTTCCAAGAGGAAGGGTGATTCTGAAAACCTTTAGTGTTGCAGGGCCACATTTAGATACCAACAGGTGCTGCAGTTGTAAATACTGCCTTTCAACAGAGGTTGATGGGTCATATCTAGACCTCAGCTGAGAAAATACCAAAAACGCATCATCCTAGTCCATCAACAGTTAACTGGTCCAAAGTAAAAATCTCCCTATCTTTCTAAGCCTTCCATAAAAATACTTCTTCCCAGTTTTAAAATCTGGATTGACCCACAGTGTTAATTTAGCATATGAAAAGAGGTAAAATTGATATTGTCGTGACAGTATACACCATAATTCTCTAACTACAGAAATCGTAGGAGGAACAGGATATATTTTAAGAAGAATAGACCATCATGCATTTCATTTAAAGAGGGGCCACAGACAAAAAGTCTGCAAAATAGCCCAAGATGGATAGTCCAACGGAGAGTAGCAATTCTAATAATTAGTACAAGTTAACAGATAGGCCTGATGATATAAACTAAGATCAGGAAAGCCGAACCCTCCTTCATTAAATGGGAGTTGCATCCTCTTTAAAGAAATCCAAGGCAGCAAGGATAGCCCAGGATAGCCGGAGCTCATCAAACCTTGGAAGCTAAGCAGGGTCAGCCCTGGTCAGTATTTGGATGGGAGACCTCCAAGGAATACCAGGGTTGTTACAAAGAGGCAGGCAAGGCAAACCACCCCTTAACCCAAGGGGTCGCCATAAGTGGGCTGCGACTAGATGGCCACATACATTTCTGAAACAAAGTATTAATTTGATAAATATATCTACAAGTTATATGAAAAGGAATTGTATGTAAAACATATAGAATCCAAGATATAATGTTTATTTTGAGTGTATTTACTTGCCCCCTGAGACAACGTAGGCAATCAAGGGAAAGCTTATTCCTCAACTCCGTTCCTGAATTTACATACCTTTAAAGAAATAGGTGCGCCCAGTCCGGGGAGAATGCACAGCAGCATCCAGCCATCCGGGCAGCCCCTTCCATAAAGCCTGGATCTTCAAAGGTGGGTTGGCTCCAAAGTCTGTCACTGTCCACACATAATCACCACGGAAGGCATAGGTCTTGTCATATGGTCCTAGAAGAGGGTTAAAGGTCAAATAGTGAGAACTCAACGTGCTGGTGATTTCCTCCATTCTTAAACATGTGCACAGCACTTCGTTCCACATCCGACTTCAGATGTAACATTAGAAGAAGACCTAATTTCAATCCTAATTCAGCTTCATGAGTACATTTAAAATGCATGTGACAAGTTAGCAGTTCTCAGATGTCATGTTTATTAAGTGGAAAAGTCTACTTCACAAGATTCTTGGGAGAAGTATCATAGTAGATGTCTTAGCATACATTCTTCTTCTGTCAATACATATGGCAACACTTTGCATGGTCCGCTCTCCTCTCCACAACAACCCCCCCCATTTTTATATCATCTTCAGACTTTTTTGTTTCTTTCCCAACTCAGCTATGTATTTAAAAGTACCTAAAATATTTACATCACATCCATCTAACAAGCTCAGAGCAGCTTATGAAAAAGTTAAGAGAAACAATTCACTTCAAAGAATCATGGGGGGCGGCACACACTATAGAAATGTATCCCATAATCACTTCATTAAAACATTCAAAACAAATATCCCTGCCAACTTCCACTCAAGCATAAATATTTTCAACTTCATCATTAGAAAGCCCTCTGAAGTAGCCAAGACTGGCAAGCTTTTCTACAAGCTAAAAGGGTGGAGGATTCTGCCCGCAGCCAACAGTTCCCGCTCTCCCCCCACCCTCCAATTTCACTCTCTTACAAATCCTTCAGGCTAATTCAATATTTCACATGAGAATATGACAGAGGCTAAAGTGATATTCAGAAAAGACACTTGCCTATGGAAATCCTCTGTCCAGTCATGCCTGTAGTGATTTTCTTGGGTTATGTTTGGAGGTTGGGATAGAGGAGACTTACCCAACATGATGGCGTCTAATCCATCTTTACATGGGTTAGGGACTTTACTAGGCCGCAAGGAGATGGCAGGGAGAGTGGTGAGCGCAGGAGAGGTCACAGTTGTTGTTGTTGTTGGCATAGTTCTTTTGCCTGCATGGAAGAACAGAGACTCTAGTTATGGGTCAAGCTGGCAGAGAAAGGGTAGGGGCAGAGAAAAATAAACAAGATGAGGGAAGTGGAAAAAATATTTGGCCAACAACCAACATGGCATTGATGTGCTGACATTCAACCTCACCCAACCAGAACCTCATTGGGAGGCATCAGGAAGGAGCTCAGACCTTGCCTAGTAACTGATCTTGAGGAAACTGTGGCCTACCTCATGATTTGAAAACCACTGGCCCAGGCCCATGCTTCTCATAATGAGAAACAGGCCTTCCTGTTGCTAGGAAATTCACGAGCCAAGGCAGAGCATGAAGGCAGACAAGAGGGAAAAAGAAAAACAAAAGCTGGAAAAAGGAACAAGTCAGGGGGGAAAGCAAGAACTTTTTTTAAAGTTTAGGATTATCACTTATAATTTTGTCATGAGAACCCTACATCTTTCCTACAGAGTCACGCACCCTTCCATAAAGACATGAATGAAAGTCTAACTTGAGCTCATTGTGCACTACTGATAATGACTCTACAGCTCATAGCCTCCTTGGCACCCATTTAAAATAATCTTGAATGTGATAAATTGTGAAAAAGCATTATTTTCCTGCCGCTCTCTTAAATGACATTTCGGAAAGATGGAAACTGTTTTTACCTCATCTCTGGGACACGCTTTGTAATGCGTGAGCCATACTAGGGATAAGCAACTGGCAGCCTAAGGGTACAATCTGGCTCCCAGGGTTAGCGCATTTGCTCCTACCACAACACCAGATTTCAAGGTCCCCCTCCTCTTTTGTGTCCCTCAGACATTCTACTAGGATTGCCAGTTCCAGGTTGGGCAATACCTGGAGATTTTGGGGGTGGAGCCTGAGGAGGGGAGGGACTTCAATGGGGTATAATGGCATAGAGTCCACCTTCCAAAGTGGCCATTTTTTCCAGGTGAACTGATCTCTACCGCCTGGAGGTCAGTTGTGATCCCAGGAGATCTCCAGCCACCACTGGGAGGCTGGCAGCCCTACACTCTGTCCATTGCTGTTTAAGTGAACAACAGTGAGCAGCTGAGGTTCATAAGCAGGAGGCCAAACTAGACATAATAGGAGCACACCCTTTTATTTAACGGGCCTACAGTAACTGGTGTAGGCCCATCATGAAACACAAAAAACAAGCAGGTTTCAGGTTTTTAGAGTAAAAGGAACATGTGGTTGGAGGGTCTGGTGAGCTGAACTTGGAGAAGAGCACTTGAAGGGAGACACTTCTTAACAGCAGTGATCCCTAACATGGTGTCAAAGAGCACGATGAGGTCTGACTATTTGTTCTCGGGTGCCTGTTTGCTTCTTCCCCATAGCAGACAGCCAGTCCTGTTTTTCCTCCATTTTGCGGGAGAAGGAAATGCTTCAGAATTGTCCAGGAAGCGTCATATGTGTGTTTGCAGGGAGCACCCATTTGGAAACCACTTCCTCCATCACTGGTGGATGCTTGGCTTGTAATGTCCTAACATTTTGTTGAGCCTCCCAATATTCTGTGATTAGACCGAGCTCCTGTGGCAGCCATTTTGTGCTGACACTACCTAGGGTTGTCAACCTCCAGTTGGAGACTGGAGATCTCCTGGAACTATAGCTGATCTCCAGGCTACATAGCTTATTTCTGGATTTAAAACATTTATTCCACTTCCCCTGGATAAAATGGCTGATTTGGAAGGTGAGCTGCATAACATTATAAAGCCCACCCTCCCAGGCTCTACCCTCAAATCTCCTGGTATTTCCAAACCAGAGTTGGCAACCCTAAGTCCTGTTCTCAACATTCCAAAAGCACCAACAGGCTCAACAAGGTTAGGAACCCCTGGTTTAGAGAACTACTGTGGCATGAAGGCTGGACTACTGGATTGGGACTGGGGCAATGTGAGTTCCTCTCCCTACTCTGTGATGAACCACACTGGGTGACCTTGGGCCAGTCTCAGAGGATTGTTGATAAAATGATGAGGGGGGCGAGATGTCCAGAGCTCCTTGGAGAAAAGGGCAGGCTAAAAACTTTAAAAAACTATGAGGGGTTAGTAAGGGAAACAGGGATCTAGGGAGGCTTCAGCTTCCCTCACCTTTGGATCTAAAAATTAACCATTTCCTGCATTATATATGATTGGGCTTATACTGACAGTCTGCTGCTGCTGTCTCTCAAAGGGTCTTTGTTGCTGTTTGGGAAAAGAGAAGGGAGCTAAAGAGCTCTTTGTCTGTATCCGAGGCCTGTTTTACACAAACAGCAGATGGGTGGATGAAACCATTCCTGGACTGTACCACTTCAAACAGCGCAATGGGGGCAGTGGTGTTGTATGGCTGATCATTCCCTCATGGGGGGAAAAACTGACACAAGAATAGCATCTTTATAAAAAATATCAGACTAGAACTCTTCTGCCTGGCGCCTAATAAATAATCCCTTGCTGCTTGTCATCTCATCTCATACGTGGGCAGGGCTTAATCTGAGGCCCCTTTCCTACTCCGACAAGTTGTGTGCAGAAGCCCAGCAGCCCCCACCCCAGTAAAATGCAGGGCGCTTCCTGTTCCAGTCTCCATCCCCTTCAGTCCGTACCATAGAGGGCCTGGATGCCTTTGATGTCATCGGGGTGCAGGCGGAAGCGTGCCTGATACCCGCTGTAGGTGGGTGCCATCAGCGAAGCCGGGTACCGCGAATGACCTAATCCCAGTGCATGGCCAATCTCATGAGCAGCAATGATGCGCAGGTTGACCCCACGGGGCGTCCCCTCTGTCCAGTCCTCATCAGAATCAAAGTGAACGGTGCCTAATTCGGGGATGTCAGCATGGGCCAGCACGTATCCTGAGGAAGAGGAAGGAATGGGTTAGATGTGTGAAAGGAAGCCTTGCTGTTGTGAAACCCTCTTCAAAATAACAGCCTGGCTCTCTGCAGTATAATGCCCGTTTCAGTAAGCGTGCCATGTGCAGTACAGAGGCCTCTACATGCCACCCTGCCTGGTGTGTGACAGCCTGATTCTGCCAAACTCTCCCAAACTATGCAGCCCACTATCTCAGGTAACACAGCACAATCATATTGTGATTTAACAGATTAAATTTCTAGCTATCAATTAAATTAGCTTGATGTAAAGCAGATTAACTCTGTCCATAACTTCAAATTTAATACATCCAGTTCTAAGTGTTTTCTTAATACACGTTAATGCACACTTCTGCCACATAGTGCGTTTTAGAGGATGCGTATGTACTAAAAACAACAATGGGGAAGACACCCCTAACCTCTGGCATGTTAACAGGACTCTGTTTAAACTGCCTATTCGGAGACCTAATCTTACTAACTACAAAGGAGAGCTAAGCAAAGCAATTGCAGCCATGATCCATGCAGAGGGTTTCTTGATTTCTAGCTTCTTCCTTCCTTGTTGGGTACTGATCCCATTCAAAATATTTAGGATCCACCAAGAAATTTTGCTGTCAAGCTCCCACCCAGTGAGCAATTTGTCCAACCACTTGAAAGTTGATTTGGGGGCACTTCAAATACAAAGCTTTATTCTAACTCTTTGATCCTTCCATACGAAAAGATTAGTTTTTATGAGAACTGGAAAGCTTCATCCACGCAAGGGCTTTGTATAAGCTCTGACTTGGCATATGTGAATGATTACGTTAAATGAGACACAGCAAGGGAAGTCCATTGCAAACAATGAATAAAGTAAAGGTAAAGGTTCCCTTGCTCGAAAGCCAGTCGGATCCGACTCTAGAGTTGCGGTGCTCATCTCCGTTTCAAAGCCGAAGAGCCAGCGCTGTCCGAAGACGTTTCCATGGTCATGTGGCCGGCATGACTAGTTACAATTAATTATTTAGGTCAAGTCTTTTGGATGGTGATTTATAGCCCTGATTGAAAACACCTTGATTTAAAGCCAATCCATCCTGGCACAAGGCCTGCTAGGAAGTACCCATCCCACATCTTACTAATGATATGCACCTCCAACACATATTTCCAGGTTTCCAATGCATCCAAGCCATACAGTGCATCATCCTCTGCAGTTCATGCAACATACTGCCCAAGCTCCCTACTCCTTGGTTTCCCCACCAGCCCCCTTCCAAACCCCAAGTAACTCCCCCCCAGCATGCTTGGGGTCCATACCACGCCCATCGAAGGGCCGTGAGCAGCCCCAAGGAGAGGAACCATGGAAGGAGAGGCGGATGTCAGCACGGCCGGTCCGCACCTCCTGGAAGGTGAGCTGTGCCACGTCGCTCCAGTACTTGAAAGCTGTCTGGATGGCCATGCGTGTGGCTGCAGCCCCCAAGCCCGTGCTGTGGCTGTGGATCCGGTAAGTTAGACGCTTCTTGCGCCAGCGACCTGCAGGGAGAGACACCAAAGCAAGATGTGTCAGAAACTGATCTGCTTGTTCTAGACAGGAGCTGTGCAGGGTTCATGAGGTCCTCCATGGTTACGGGGAGAAGATGGATTCTAGCCTATTCTTTGTTCAACCCAGGCTTCCACAATGGGGGTTCCTGGCTCCTGACCCCAGTTCATGACTCGGGGTGGGTTCATAATCCAGTTTGCTTGTAGGGCAGTGGAGGATGGTCCATTAGGAAAAATGGGCCAGTGCCCCCCCAACTCAGGCTTTCCTCCTAGCCCCTTAGTGCCTATCTCTATTCACTATCCTTAGCACATGGGGGGGGGAGAGTCACCAGCTAGGGTTGCCACATCCAGGTGGCAACTGGAGTTCTCCCTGAATTACAGCTGATCTCCAGACCACAGAGATCAGTTTCCCTGGAAAAAAATGGCAGCTTTGGAGGGCAGACGCTATAGCATCACATCCCTGCTGGGTTTTCTCTCCACTCCCCAAACACCACCCCAAATTCTCCAGGAATTTCCCAGTCCAACACTGGCACCCCAACCACTGTTCCCTCTAAACTGAGTTAGTGTGAGCTAGCTCACATTTTTTAGCCTCCGGCTCACACATTTTTGTCTTAAATCAGGAAGGAGGGCTCCAAAACAAACTAATTTATGCAGTAGCCAAATTGCTCGCTCACAACTTTAATGCCAGTGGCTCACAAAGTAGAATATTTGCTCACAAGACTCCACAACTTAGAGGGAGCATTGACTCCAACCACCAGCTAAGTCAGTCTCTGCCTGGTCTTTGTAAACACTCAGTGGTGCTTTTGTGATGACCTACTTCAACATTAGATACAGGTAGGGTTGCCAAGTGTACTTACCCTTGCCGGCGGGGAAGCCTTGCTGGGCTCCGGGAGCTCTCCCAGGACGTGCGCGCGCCACCAGCACGTCACAGGAAGTGACATGCTATGTCGCTCACATTGGGGGCGTGGCCCAGATCGTCGGGGGGGGGGGAACCTTATGGTTTTCCCCTTGACAATCTGGTATGTCGCTCACATTGGGGGCGTGGCCCAGATCGTCGGGGGGGGGGAAACCATATGGTTTTCCCCTTGACAATCTGGGCCACGCCCCCAACGTGAGTGATGTGGCTGCGTCACCACAGCGGAAATCGGGCCTCCAAAGCGGGGGTTTCCCTGCCCTCCGCCCCCACTTGGCAGCCCTAGATACAGGAAATAACGATAATAGTAACCTATCTTAGCCTTATTCTGACCTTTGACCTAAGAACTGTGAACCTGCTTCCCCTCATAGTTCAGGGTTTCAAACTACAATTCGCACAACACAACTCACTTCCCTTTTCTGCAGCCCCTCTGAGCAGGGGTGTCAAACATATTTATTTATTTATTATTTATTACTTCAATTTATACCCTGCCCTTCCTGCGAGCAGGCTCAGGGTGGCTTACGTTAATTGGTACCCAGTACCATAAAACCATATACAAAAGTTAAAACATTTTAAATATTATAAACATAAAACGATCCGATTATTAAAGTGCTAGTGATAATAGTCAACGTACAGCAATCTACACCTTCTAAAATAATGCTGCTATTCCTACCACCATTATGAATTAAGAATAAGGGGGGGAAAGTTCCCTTCAGAAAGTATAACTTGTTTTTGTCATATAAGCTCACAGGAAATATTTCATGCCTTCTAGCTGAGAAAAGTAATTATGCAAGTTGTCGGGCTGGATGAACTCATCCCCCGAGAAAGTGGTTATGTACTTGACTATGTTTGTGTATCGGTCACTGTCTACCAGTGGAGCTGCGGTGGCTCAAGTGGTTAAGACGCTGAACTGCAGGCTGTGGAAGGTCAGTAGTTCAGTGGTTCAAGACCCGGGTGCCGCAAGACAGGGTGAGCTCCTGTCTCTAGTTCCAGCTCCTGCCAACCTAGCAGTTCGAAAGC